TTTGGTTCCATATGAAGTTTAAGGTGGTTTTTTCCAATTCTGTAAAGAAAGTCAGTGGTAGCTTGATGGGGATAGCATTGAATCTATAAATTACTTTGGGCAGTATGGCCATTTTCACAATATTGATTCTTCCTAACCATGAGCATGGAATGTTTTTCCATCTGTTTGTGTTCTCTTTTATTTCCTTGAGCAGTGGTTTGTAGTTCTCCTTGAAGAGGTCCTTCACATCCCTTGTTAGTTGTATTCCTAGGTGTTTTATTCTCTTTGTAGCAATTGTGAGTGGGAGTTGACTCATGATTTGGCTCTGTTTGTCTGTTATTGGTGTATCTGGTGTCTGTTATTGGAATGCTTGTGATTTTTGCACATTGACTTTGTATCCTGAGACTTTGCTGAAGTTGCTTATCATCTTAAGGAGATTTTGGGCTGAGATTATGGGGTCTTCTAAATGTAAAATTATGTTGTCTGCAAATAGAGAAAATTTGATTTTCTGTTTTCCTAATTGAATACCCTTTATTTCTTTTTCTTGCCTGATTGCCCTGACCAGAACTTCCAATACTATGTTGAATAGGAGTGGTGAGAGAGGGCATCCTTGTCTTCTGTCAGTTTTCAAAGGGAATGCTTATAGTTTTTGCCCATTTGGTATGATATTGGCCAAGGGTTTGTAATAAATAGCTTATTATTTTGAGATATGTTCCATCAATACCTAGTTTATTGAGAGTTTTTAGCATAAAGGGCTGTTGAATTTTGTCAAAGGACTTCTCAGCATCTATTGTGATGATCATGTGGTTTTTGTCTTTGGTTGTGTTTATGTGAAGGATTACATTTATAGATTTACATATATTGAACCAGCCTTGCCTCCCAGGGATGAAGCCAACTTGATTGTAATGGATAAGCTTTTAGATGTGCTGTTGAATTCAGTTTGCCAGTATTTTATTGAGGATTTTTGCATCGATGTTCATCATGAATATTGGCCTGAAATTTTCTTTTTAGTTGTGTCTCTGCCAGGTTTTGGTATCAGGATGATGTTGGTCATAGAATAAGTGAGGGAGTATTCCCTCTTTTTGTATTGTTTGGAATAGTTTCAGAAGGAATGGTACCAGCTCCTCTTTGTACTTTTGGTAGAATTCAGCTGTGAAACTGTCTGTTTCTGGACTTTTTTTGTTTGGTAGGCTATTAATTGCTTCCTCAATTTTAGACCTTGTTATTAGTCTATTCAGAGATTAACTCCTTCCTGGTTTAGTCTTGGGAGGGTGTAAGTGTCCAGGAATTTATCCATTTCTTCTAGATTTACTGGTTTATTTGCTCAGAGGTGTTTGTAGTAATCTCTGGTAGTTTGTGTGGGATGGGTGGTGATATCCCCTTTATTATTATTGATTGCATTGATTCGATTCTTCTCTCTCTTCTGTTTTATTAATCTGGCTAGCACTCTATTTTGTTGGTCTTTTCAAAACTCTATTTTGTTGGATTTGATTTTTTTTTGAAGGGTTTTTGTGTCTCTATCTCCTTCAGTTCCACTCTGATCTTAGTTATTTCTTCTGCTAGCTTTTGAATTTGTTTGCTCTTGCTCCTCTAGTTCTTTTAATTGTGACATTAGGGTGTTAATTTTAGATCTTTCCTTGCTTCTCTTGTGGGAATTTAGTGCTATAAATTTCCCTCTAGACACTGATTTAAATGTGTCCAAGAGATTCTGGTTGTGTCTTCATTCTCCTTGGTTTTGAAGAACATCTTTATTTTCGCCTTAATTTCATTATTTATCCAGTAGTCATTCAGGAGCAGGTTGTTTAGTTTCCAGTTGTGGGGTTTTGAGTGAGTTTCTTAATCCCGAGCTCTAATTTGATTGCACTGTGTCTGAGAGACTGTTTGTTATGATTTCCATTCTTTTGCATTTGCTGAGGAATGATTTACTTCCAATTATTGGTCAATTTTAGAGTAAGTGCACTGTGGTACTGAGAAGAATGTATATTCTGTGGATTTGGGGTGGAGAGTTCTGTAGATGTCTATTAGGTCCACTTGGTCCAAATCTGAGTTTAAGCCCTGGATATCGTTGTTAATTTTTTGTCTCATTGATCTGTCTAATATTGACAGTGGAGTGTAAAGTCTCCCACTATTATTGTGTGGGAGTCTAAGTCTCTTTGTAGGTCATTAAGAACTTGCTTTATGTATCTGGGTGCTCCTGTATTGGGTGCGTATATATTTAGGAACGTTAGCTCTTATTGATGCGTTGATCCTTTTACCATTATGTAATGCCCTTCTTTGTCTCTTTTGATCTTTGTTGGTTCAAAGTCCATTTTATCAGAGACTAGGATTGCAACTCCTGCTTTTTTTGTTCTCCATTTCCTTGGTAAATCTTACTCCATGCCTTTATTTTGAGCCTATGTGTATCTTTGCATGTGAGATGGGTCTCCCAAATATAGCACACAAATGGATCTTGACTCTTTATCCCATTTGCCAGTCTGTGTCTTTTGATTGGGACATTTAGCCATTTACATTTAAGGTTAATATTGTCATATGCGAATTTGATCCTGCCATTTTGATGCTAGCTGGTTGTTTAGCCGGTTAGTTTATGCAGTTTCTTCATAGTGTTGATGGTCTTTACAATTTGGTATTTTTTGCAGTGGCTGGTACTGGTTGTTCCTTTCCATGTTCAGTGCTTCCTTCTGGAGCCCTTGTAAGGCAGGGTTGGTGGTGATGAAATCTCTCAGCAGGTGCTTTTCTGTAAAGGATTTTATTTCTCCTTTGCTTATGAAGCTTAGTCTGGCTGGAAATGAAATTCTAGGTTGAAAATTATTTTCTTTAGGGATGTTGAATGTTGGCCCCTACTCTCTTTTGGGTTGTAGGGTTTCTGCTGAGAGATCCACTGTGAGTCTGATGGGCTTCCCTTTGTGGATAACCTGACCTTTCTCTCTGGCTGCCCTTAGCATTTTTTCCTTCATTTCAACCCTGGTGAATCTGACGATTATGTGCCTTGGGGTTGCTCTTCTTGAGGAATATCTTTGTGGTATTATCTGTATTTCCTGAATTTGAATGGTGGCCTGCCTTGCTAGGTTGGGGAAGTTCTCCTGGATAATATCTTGAAGAGTGTTTTCCAACTTGGTTTAATTCTCCCCATCACATTTAGGCACACCAATCAAATGTAGATTTGGTCTTTTCACATAACCCCATATTTCTTAGAGGCTTTGTTGATTTCTTTTTGTTCTTTTTTCTCTAATCTTGACTTCTCACTTTTACTTCATTGAGTTGATCTTCAATCTCTAATATCCTTTCTTCTGCTTGATTGATTCGGCTATTGAAACTTGTGTATGTTTCACAAAATTCTTGTGCTGTGTTTTTCAGCTCCATCAAGTCTTTTATGTTCTTCTCTCAGCTGGTTATTCCAGTTAGGATTTCATCTAACCTTTTTACAAGGTTCTTAGTTTCCTTGCATTGGGTTAGAACATGCTCCTTTATCTTGGAGAAGTTTGTTATTACCCACCTTATGAAGCCAGCTTCTGTAAATTTGTCAGACTCATTCTCTATCCAGTTTTGTTCCCTTGCTGGTGAGGAGTTGTGATACCTTGGAGGAGAAGAGGCTGGTTTTTTGGCAGTTTCAGCCTTTTTGCGGTGGTTTCTTCCCATCTTCATGGATTTATCTATCTTTGGTCGTTGAAGTTGGTGACTTTTGATGGGGTCTCTGAGTGAATGTCCTTTCTGTTGATGTTGAAGCTATTTCTTTCTCTTTGTTAGTTTTCCTCCTAACAGGCCCATCTGCTGGAGTTTGCTGGAGGTCCACTTCAGACCCTGCCTGCCTGGGAATCACTGTGGGGGCTACAGAACAGCCAAGATGCTGCCTGTTCCTTCTTCTGGTAGCTTGGTCCCAGAAGGGTACCCACCAGATGTCAGCCAGAGCTCTCCTGTATGAGGTGTCTCCCAGTCAGGATATTTAGGGGTCAGGGAGCCACTTGAGGAGGCAGTCTGTCCCTTATCAGAGCTCAAGTGCTGTGCTCAGAGACCGATTACTCCCTTCAGTGTTGCCAGGCAGGGAAGTTTAAATCTGCTGAAGTGGATCCCACAACTGCCCCTTTTCCCAGGTGTTCTGTCCCAGGAAGATGGGGGTTTTATTTATAAATCCCTGCCTTTTTTCAGAGATGCCTTGCCCAGCAAGAAGGGAGTCTAGTGACAGTCTGCCTGCAGAGGCCTTGCTGAGCTTCCATGGATTCCACCCATTTGCTGTGTAAACTTCCTGGTGACTTTATTTACACAGGCAAGGTTAAAACCACCTATTCGAGCCTCAGCAAGGACTGACGCCCTCTCCCCACACCAAGCTTGGTTGTCCCAGGTTGATCTCAGACTGCTGTGCTGGCTGCAAGAATTTCAAGCCAGTGGATCTTAGCGTTCTGGTCTTCGTTGGGGTGGGACCCACTGAGCCAGATCACTTGGCTCCCTGGCTTCAGCCCCCCTTTTCATGGGAATGAGTGATTTTGTCTTGCTGGTATTCCAGGCACCACTGGTGTATGAGAAACAAAACTGCTGGAGCTAAAACGGCTGCCCAGTTTTGTGCTGGAAACTCGGGGCATGGGTGTTGTAGGCACTGGAGGGAATCTTCTGAAGTCTGTGGGAAAAGCACAGTGTCTTGGCCAGTGTTGGGAAAAGTCCCTAATGGCTTCCCTTGGCTAGGAGAGGGAGTTCTCTGGTCCCTTGCACTTGCCCTTGCAATGCCCCACCCTGCTTCTGCTCACCCTCTTTGGGCTGCACCCACTGTCTAACAAGTCCCAATGGGATGAACCTGGTTCCTCAGCTGGAAATGTGGAGATCACTCGCCTTCTGGCTTGCTCTTGCTGGGAACTGTGGACTGGAGCTGTCCCTATTTGGCCATAGGAGTATTTTTGTAAAATGTGCAAGTTGAGGGGAGGAAGGGGTGGTAGAGAAGCAGGGCAGCTGGCATAGCTCCTGGGGTGTTGGTCTCCTCCAGGAAACTTCTGTGACCCTCATCTGTGGTTTTGACCAGCCCGTTTGCCTTTCAGGAGGACTGGCGTTAGCTCAGGTGCTCTTTTTCTACGTGAAGTACTTGGTGCTCTTCGGTGTACCAGCTCTGCTCATGCGCCTGGATGGACTCACTCCGCCCACCCTCCCTCGCTGCGTGAGCACCATGTTCAGTTTCACCGGGATGTGGAGGTCAGTCGCTGAGTTTGCTACAGTTGATCAGGAGTGACTAGTGGGAGGAGCATAGCTGGACTGGTCTCAAAGGGGTTGGGCTACCATCCTCTTCCTGCCCCTAGCTCAAGCCGAATCTGGCATCCATTTCTTCATCCTACTAACAGGACGACAGTCCATGCTTTCTGGGTCTCATGATTACAATTAGTCTATGAAGGCAGGTGAGATAAGAAAGTTTCTCTGCGAGTCTGTGTACCCATCAATGTGCAAAGGGTTATGTTTGAAGTGGTTTCTTACCAACTTGGGAAAGGCTACTGTATCTTGATTTTGTAATTGCTTCCTTTTTTTCTTGAAAGCGACATTAGTATATGTGAGACTGTTGATTGATTAAGAAAAATAGACTCAGAATAATAGCCTAGGCCAGTGTTGCAGTATACTATTTACTAAATCTCTCCGTTTCATTTTTCTTATCTCTTAAACAGTAGTAAAGATAATCCCTGTCTCCAGGAGTTGTTTTGAAGTTTACCTAATCTTCAATAATAAGGATTAGCTTTAACTTTTAATAAGGATTTAGCTATGCTCAGTGGACGTGATAGACACTTTTTCTGAAATTTTCTTACTTTTCTAGATTTTGACCTGTAGTCTTATAGTTGGTCTGGAGTCTTTTTTTCCTTAGTCCCCTGCCATTTCAGATTGTTGTTTTCAATGTGATGGACTTAATGCTGTGCTTGTCTTATCACTTTCAGAGTGTAACAGTGACAGGATTGCATTTGCAACTGCAAACCTAGTGGAAGGACCTCAGGGTCAGCTCTGGTACAGCCATGGGAGTTGGTGCCCCATCCATGTGGCTCATTCCTTTTTAATTTTTGAGACAAGTTCGCGCTATATTTCCCAGGATAGTCTGGAACTCTGGACTAGATCCTTCTACCTCAGTGCCCTAGTAGATGGGATCATGGGTTTATTCATTGTTAAATTTCATCTCTGTAGGCAAAAAACCCAAGACACAGGTAGGGGAAGAGCTCAGTAAATACTGCTGTACCTAATGTGGCTGTTCCAATGGAGTTGAGTAGCATTCAACATTCTTGTTTTTCATAGTGACTTATTACAGATGTTGAATTTATCAAAACCTCTCTAAATACATTTTATTTTTGGTCGAGTTGGCTTGTTGGAGTGAGAACTTTCATATGGTGATTGCAGGGAATGTCAGGTAGTTACTTTAATTTGTCCTTAGTTCATGAAATACCACAGGTTTCCCTGTTTTAAGGGCAAGATGGGGGAATGTTGGCAAACAGGTGGTCTCTAACTAGAAGACCAGGGAGTGGTTTTTGTTGAAAAGGTGAGCCTAGTTGGGAGGCCCTGTTAACTTTTGATCTACTCATCAAAGTAACTTACTGAATCAATAGGTTGGGTCACCCAGCATGATTTGGGAACATGTCACAAGTGTCTGGTGTGAGCTCAGCACAGTCCTCTGTCTGCTCCATGTGAATATTGTACTCATGCATTCCTTGGGAAGCACATTATCCTATAAGGCTTCTCTGGTATTGGCTGGCATGATAAAACCGTAACCCCCGGAAGGCATGCGGGTTTCTGGGTCCCTGTCCATAAATACCAACCCATTGATTATCACAAGAGGCAGTTTAGGCTGCTGACTATATTTCATACTCAAAACAGTTGTCTTCTTGTTCTTTATTTTAATAATTCTTTTTTGTCCAAGAAAGACCCTCAGTTCTATATCAACCACAGAGATGGAGAGAACATGTCTGTCAAGACCTTTGTCACTGTCTTGATTAGGACTAGACTCAAATATTTGAGACCCCAGGCTGCTGAAACAGTCTCTCCTCTCACTTAAAGTTTTAAGTGAAATGTGGACAAAATGAAAAGTTAATCTGAGGAGGAAGCTCTGGGTTGACCCCTTAGAGTGATGTGGTTCTAAAGAGGTGTTTCTGAGAGCATGTGATAAAATAACAAAGAGAGCTTTCCTGGGAGTGACCTAGACTCTTACCCTAGCTTCTTTGGCATGCATAGGTGTAGGTTTTCCTCTCCACAGTGTTAAGTTTCTTGAAGGATTTTCCAGGCTGCCAATTATACTTAGAAACACAAAGGTCTTTGTACAGAATGGCCATTACATATTAAGCAGTTGGATTTAGGTGTGGAGATGAACTTTTTCTGAGATCCAATGTACAATGTAAGACTCAGAAGTAGTTTTTTAATTGAAGAAAAATAAAATAACAATTAGAGTGTTTCTTTTGTGCAATTTGCAGATGCTCATTTACTAATAGCAGGAGTTGAACATGTTTCATGTTCAGCATCTGGTGGCATAACCCTGACACTGGTCCTGGTCTCATTCTCTAACTTTTCTCTTTAAGAATGCTCATTAAGGGAAACTGAGTTTTGAATTTGTAATTTCTATTAACAGCTAACTTAACTTACTTTTTCTGGGCCATCTGTTGTGGTATTGCTGCAGACAGGGAATGGCACTCTCTTCCTGGATGTAGGTCTGAGAAGAATTTGGTCATGAGCTGATGTGAACGCTGGTGATGTAAATTATTCTGCTGGGTCATGTCAGCTATTCACACGGTGACATAAAGGGTTTGGTGGATGGGAAGCGGAGGGAAGAAATGTTAAAACAATCTCCAGAGATTGTTTAATGGTTACGTGAACTTCTCAAACATCTACCCTGAATGAGGTTTAGAACTGCTGATAGAGGAATTTTTAGTCCCCCGTTTTTTGTTTTGTTTTGTTTTTATATATATATATATATATATTTTTATTGCATTTTAGGTTTGGGGGTACATGTGAAGAACATGCAAGATTGTTGCATAGGTACACACATGGCAGTGTGGTTTGCTGCCTTCCTCCCCATCACCTATATCTGGCATTTCTTCCCATGTTATCCCTCCCCAACTCCCCACCCTGCGCTGCCCCTCCCCTAGTTCCCCCTGACAGACCGCAGTGTGTGATGCTTCCCTCCCTGTGTCCATGTGTTCTCATTGTTCAACACCCACATGTGAGTGAGAACAAGCGGTGTTTGATTTTCTGTTCTCGAGTCAGTTTGCTGAGAATGATGGTTTCCAGGTTCATCCATGTCCCTACAAAGGACACAAACTCATCGTTTTTTATTAGCCCCCCGTTTTAATGGAGCCATACCATCCTGAACACTGCTGACTGATTGCACCATCTTTCAGCCTACTTAGCATTGAGAGACATGAAGTCAGCAGCCTGCCATATCAGAGGAATATGAGCTCTACATCATAGAAAAGATAAAAGTGGCCATTACCAAAGAGATCATCTTCCATGCCATGCTGGTTCAAATTGACTGTGAAAAACTGCAATTCACCAAGAAGGCCCAAACCTGAAACTTAGTACTTGATGGGTTTGTTTTTCTTTCCTCATAAATCTTCTCTTTCATATAATTTCTGCTCAGGTTATTTACAGATATAACAAGACCCCAAGGAATATGTCTGTTCCAGCTTGCATGATTTTTCTGTGTTCTTAATGGATTTGAGAAATTGAGAATTTTCTGCTTAATTTTTGGATTTCACATTTTAATTTAGATGGGCTGAGATCTGTAATAAGCAGTTTTTGCCAGGAGTCATTAAAGATGACGTTGCATGTCTGTCTCCAAATTAGAGATCTGACCCTATTTTTGTGATTTGATTTCTAGTTACGGAAGCAAAGCGATAGAATTTCCCATGGTGGCTGGTGAGTTATGGGTCAGTTTCAATTATTTCAGGAACCCTACACAGCTTGCCCTCTGCATTTCTTGAATTATGATGCTTTCAGGTCGTCAGAGGCAAACTCATACATCACTGCTTATCCCAGGGGGATCTGGTGCTGTTGGTGGCTGCTACACCTTAATATCCAGGAATATCTTTAAGCTGGGGATAAGGAGGAATCTGAGCACCTTCTTTCAGTGAGGCATTGATTACATGGGCTATTAGGTCAGTAGAATTTAGGTCCCTAGGTAGAGAGTTGGTCCAGCACGTTAGATGATAAATCAGCTCGACAAGCTGCTGGCTTTGCATTAGTACTGCCTTTGAATCGTGCTTAATCACCAGTCTCAGGGCGGGATGGTGGGCATGGAGTTGGTGAAATATATTATCATGTCTACAAGCATTGTTGGGTAGAAAGCCGGAATCAGGTGAGTATAAAGAAGAAAAGGTGGAATAAGTGCTGTTAATAAAAAATTGCTTTTTTTGGCAGCAATGTAGTGACTAAGAGCTGGCTACCTACTAGCTATGTGACTTGGGACAAAGGTCTCTGGGCCAGTCTTTTAATCTCTAATATAAGGAGAATACTACTAGTTTGCTTCATAGGAGTGCTATGAAGATTGAGCGAGCCTGGCATATAGTAGTTAGGAAGTGGTATCCTATATCCTGAGGATCCCATATCCTCAGGAAGTGGTAGCTTCTTAGTACTTTTTTTTTTTTTTTTTTTTTTTTTGAAAATCTAACAAAGCCAGAGGTGACTGAGAGGTCCACCTGCTAATGGGCCTGGTAGGGAGGCAGTGAGCGAGGATGGGAGTGGCTGAGGGAACGCGCCATTTCAGCTCTGCCCTGGAGATGCGATGCTTCAGAGAGACTATGGTGGAAGGGGTATGGGCTGTACCTTCAGAGGAGGGGCCTTGGTCTTGTCATTTTGTCTGTTGTTTTCATGTGAGAGGGGGACTGAGGTGTCGGATGAGACTAGGAACAGCGTCTTGTCACTAGGTGATGCCTGTGTTCCCTTCTTCGTCTGTTAGCCCAGCCACACTGAAGGGAGATGACCACCAGGACCCCTGTGCTAAAGCACATCCACCCCACAAATCTCTCTATTCCACTCATCTTACTGCATTGTTGGAAGGGTTAGGCAAGACCGTGTACTAAAGCGCTGGATACACGGTGGGCATGCTGTGAACACCAAAATAGAAACCATCAACCATCATGACACCATTTTATAAATAACGGTTAATCATTACAAACAGAGTAAAATTTACAGCATTTATTCATTTGTGGTTTTATCTATGAGACAGTGTCTCACTC